AACAACAACAACAACAAAGAAAAGCCCAGGACCTGATGAGTTCACTGTTGAATTCTACAAGAAATTTAGGAAAGCACTAATAGTACTAGTGCTGAAACTTTTTAAACAAATTGAAAGGGAAGCAATAGTCCCAAACTCACTCTGGAAGCAAGTACTACCAGTTCCCAAAACAGAGAAGAATGCAACAACAACAACAAAAAACTACAAGCAAATCTCCCTAAACAACATAGATGCAAAAATCCCCAATAAGATACTGGCAAACAGAATGCAAAAAATCATGAAGATTATACATCACAACCAAGTAGGATTCATCCCAGGGATGCAGGGATGGTTCAACATACTTAAATCAATAAACATAATACATATTAATAGAACCAAATACAAAAATCACATGATCTCTATAGATGCAGAAAAAACATTTGACAAAGTCTAGTAGCCCTTCATGTCAAAAACTCTACAGAAAATTGAAATAGATGGTTTTTACTTCAATCTTATAAAAACCATCCATGACAAGCCAACAGTTAACATCATATTAAATGGTCAAAAACTGAAAGCTGTCAGTCTAAAATCAGGAAAAAGACAAGGACAACCATTATCAACACTCCTATGTAATTAAGCTCTGTAAACATTAGCCAGAGCAGTTAGACATGAGAAAAAAAGTAAATAGAGTAAGGATAGGAAAGGAGGAAGTTATCATTATTTTCAGATGACACAATATTCTACATAGAAGATGCCAATACTTCCACCAAAAAATTCAGTAGTGTAACAGGATACAATGTAAAAAATCAGGATACAATGCTCTGTAGCATTCCTATACGGGAGCAACAGTCACAGAGAGAGAAATTAGGGAGAGCATATCTTTATCATAGCATCTAAAAAATGAAGTACTTAGGATTAATGTAATGAAGGATGTAAAATACCTGTACAGTGAAAATTACAGTACCATAAAAAAGGAGACAGAAGAAGATATCAGAAAAGGGAAAGATATCCCTTGCTCTTAGGAAGAACCAACATAGTAAAAGTAGCCATGCTCCCAAAAATGCTATACAGATTTAATGCAATCCCAATGAAAATACGAACAGCACACTTTACAGATCCAGAGAAAACACTCCTAAAATTCATCTGGAACCTGAAGAGACCTAGAATAGCAAAAGTAATTCTGGGTAACAAAGGCAAGACAGGAGCACCACAATTCTTCACCTACAATTATGCTATAAAGCTACTGTGATAAAATCAGCATGGCAATGGCAAACAAACAAACAAATAAACAAACAAACAAACAAAACAGACCTGAGTAGGGCTGGTGAGATGGCTCAGTAGCCTAAAGCACCTACTTAGAACAAGCTTCGGAAAGCACAGGAACCGCGGTTCAATCCCCCAGCACCACATGCCAGCCAGCCCCGCCCCGTGGTGGGCTGAGCTGGCCACACACACACACACACACACACACGTACACACATAAATAAATAAATTTAAAAAAAAAAAAGACCTGAGGATCAATGTAATAGAAGGTGCAGACACATTCCAAAGACACTCAGCCACCTTATTCTCTACGAAAGAGCCAAACCTGTTCACTGGAAGAAAGGCAGCCTCTTTAACAAATGGTGCTGGAAAAACTGGCTTTCCACATGCCAAAGATTAAAACTAAACCCATGTCTATTACCATGTACTAAACTAAAGTCAAAATGGATAGAAGATTTAAATATTAAAATAGAAACACTAAATTTATTTGAAGAGTAAATAGGTAGAAATCTTGAAGATATAGGTATAGGCAGAGATTTTAGGAACAAAACCCAAACTGCAAAGGAAATACTGTATAATAATACAATTGTAAAATTATAATATAATATAACAACATAACAAAGAATCAACAAATGTGATCTTACCTTATGAAAAAAGCTTTTGTATGACAAAAGAAATCACCAACAGAGCAGAGAGACAACCTATAGAGTGGGGGAAAAAATTGGGAAACAAATTATAGCCAGTTGTCCCTCAAACGAC